CATCAGTAGCCCTCCTATATTCAAATGATAGGAAAGGACAGGGAAAGAAATCAGAGAAGCATCACCCTTCCCAACAGCCACAAATAATACAAAGTATCTTGGGGTAACTCTAACCAAACAAAAGAAAGACCTGTACAACAAGAACTTTAAGTCTCTGAAGAAAAAATTGAAGAGGATATAAGAAAATGGAAAGCTCTCCCATGCTCTTGGATAGGTAGGATCAACATACAAAGGCAATCTTATCAAAAGCAATCTACAGGTTCAGCGCAATCCCCAGCAAAATTCTTCACAGAACTTTAAAGAACAATACTGAATTTCATATGGAAAAACAAAACAATCCAGAAGAGCTAAACAGTTCTGTACAATAAAGGAACTTCTAGAGGCATCACCATCGCTGACTTCAAATCTATTATAGAGCTACAGTAATGAAAACAGCTTGGTATTGGCATAAAAACAGACACAGGGATCAATGAAATTGAGTTGAAGACCCTGACATTAATCCACACACCTATGAACACCTGATTTTTGACAAAGAAGGAAAAAAATGGTACAAAGTAAAAAGGAAAGCATCTTCAACAAATGGTGCTAGCATAACTGGGTGGCAACATGTAGAAGATTACAAATAGATCCATATCTATCGACATGCACAAAACTCAAGTCCAAGTGGATCAAATAACTCAACAGAAATCCAGTTACCCCAAGCCTGATAGAAGAGAAAGTGGGAAGTAGCTTTGAACACATGGACACAGGAGACCACTTCCTAAATATAACACCGGTAGCACAGATACTGAGAACAACAATCAATTAATGGGACCTCCTGAAACTGAGAAGCTTCTGTAAAGCAAAGGACACTGTCAATAAGACAAAACGAGAGCCTACAGAATGGGCAAAGATCTTCACCAACCCCACATGTGACAGAGGGCTGATCTCCAAAATATATAAAGAACTCAGGAAACTAGACATCAAAACACCACATAATTCAATTAAAAAATTGTGGTACAGAGCTAAACAGATTACTCAACATAAGAAACTGAAGTGACCAAAATACATTTAAGGAAATTCTCAACATCCTTAGCCGTCAGGGAAATGCAATTCAAAATATCTCTGAGACATCTTACAGCTATCAGAATGGCTAAGATAAAAAATATTGAGGACAGCTTATGTTGGAGAGGATGTGGAGTCAGTGGAACACTTCTACAAACTTGTATAGCCACTTTGGGAACCACTTTCTCAAAAATAAATAAATAAATAAATAAATAAATAAATAACATAAATGGGAGTCAATCTACTTCAACACCCAGTGATACCACTCTTGGGCATATACCCAAAGGATGCTTGCTCAGCTATATTCATAACAGCATTGTTCCTAATAGCCAGAATCTGGGAAACAACCTAGATACCCATAAATAACCCAAAGAATGGATAAAGAAAATGGGGTACATTTACACAATGGAGTCTTAATAGGCTAAAACAAACAAACAAACAAACAAAAAAATGATACCATGAATTTGCCTGCAAATTCATGGAAGGAACTAGAAAAAGTAACCCTGAGTGAGGTAGAATGACAAACATGGTATATATGCACTCCTAAGTGAGTAGTAGATATAAATCAAAGGATAGCCAGACTACAATCCATAGCTCCAGAGACCTAGGTAACAAGGAGGATCCTAAGAGTGATGCATTGATCACCCTAGGAAGGGGAATTAGATAAAATCTCCTGGGTAAACTAGGAGCTGGGGTGATAAAAGGGAGGGAATGGGGGAATGAGTGCATGAGTCAAGTTCAGAGAGGGATGGAGTGGGAGAGCAATGAAAGAGATATCTTAATAGAGAGCCATTATGTGGTTAGGGAGAAACCTCGTGTTAGGGAAACTCCCAGCAATCCACAGGAATGACCCCAGCTAAATCTAGAAAAAGTGGAGAGGGTGCTTAAACTTGCCTTTTCCTGTAATCTGACTGGTGAATACCCCAACTATCATCATAAAGCTCTCATCATCTTGTAGAACCAGATGTAGAGATCCACAAACCAAAAGAGGCTGTGCTCCAGGAATCCATTGGAAATGAAGCTGGATGCAATCTATTTGCAAGGGAGGTCAAGATCATGGCAGGGAAATCTACAGAGACAACTGCACCAAGGTTGTGGGAACTCATGAATTGAGACTGAGAGCTATGGAGTCCCCATGGGACTGAACTAGTCCCTCTGTATGTGGGAGACAGTTGTGAAGCTTGGACTATCTTAGTGGTCTCTGGCAGTTGGACCAGGATGTTTCCTTGTTGCAAGAGTTAACTTTTCAGAGCCCATTCCCTATGGTGGGAAGCCATGCTCAGTTATAATGCAGTGGGAAGAAGCTTGGTCCTTCCTTAAGTCAATGTGCTAGGCTTTGTTTACTCCCCATGGGAATCCTTACTCTATGGGAGGAGTGGATGGATGTATTGTTCTGGGAAAGAGGTGAGGGGGAGATGGAAGAGGGATGGAAGGAAGAACTGTCATTGTATTGTGAAATGAAATTTAAAAATACATAAAAAATCTAAAAATAAAATGTATTCTTAACCTTTTAGACTCTTGATTTTACTTTACTGGAGATTTTCTGTATCTACTTGTCATTGTTTGTATTCTGACAATAATATTTGTAATTTTATGAAATCTATTCTCAATTTTTCTCCCTTGGGATTATTTTTTATTTTCTTTGTATATTCCTCTCATGCTTCCAGTTCTTCTTAAATATCTGTTCATCCTAAAAGTCTATTCATTTAAGTAAAGGAAAGGGCATTAATTTTCAGGTGACTTAAAGAGGAATCAGCTGCTATATTTAAACAAAAGAACAAACAAACAAATAAAGAACAAAAAACCAGCGGCTAGAATATAGTGGACTTTTTACTTTTTACTTGGATGAAGAACTTTCTGAGAACTAGAGAAAAGAGTTGTGGTTTTGAATTCCCAAAATGCTGAGGACTGTTAAGCAGTCATGTACATACCTGGCAGAGACCTGTTTACATATCCATTGACTGTGTGCATTTTAGGCCAAGCTCCAGTAGATGTAGAATCCATAGCCTGTGTGAAAGAGTCCTTTGTTTCCGAATGCCAGCTCTTCCCTGGTGAAGGGGCGGGTAGAGGAATAAAGTCAACTGAACTCCGTTTCATGAATCTGCTCCCCCTTTCTTTTCCTCCTTTGTGACACTGAATTTTTGTCAGCAGAGTAGGCACAAACTCAGAGTCACTGAGAAGAAAATTACATTTCTTTCAAACCAATTCTCTTTCCTTATATTTGTTCATAATGAAAGTGAGGAAGAGCCAGGCATTGGTGGTACATGCCTTTAATCCCAGCACTTGGAAGGCAGAGGCAGACCAATCTCTGTGAATCTGAGCCCAGCCTGGTCTATAGATCTAATTCCAGGACAACTTCCAAAGCTACACAGAGAAACCCTGTCTCAAAAAAAAAGTGGGGGAAGAATAATGGAACATGACATGAAGAGAAGTAAGAATACTGATTAGTTTGACCTGCAAGAATTTCATTTTTCAAGTTAGATTTTACATTTAAAAGGTTTGTCAGTCCTTGCCCTATCATAAATTGCTTCATTCCATTTTGTAGGAAGGAAATCCCAGGAACTTGAAGGTTTCTCAACCTCCTCTCCAAAACTAACAAAATCTGCAGTACTGAAAATGACTTGGCCTGCTTCATTAAAAAATAGATGGAACCAGATGCAGAGGTCCACAGCCAAGCATGAGGCTGAGCTCCAGGAATACAGCCAAAGAGAGGGAGGAGGGTATATATGAGCCAGGGAGGCCAAGATTATGATAGAGAAATCTGCAGAGACAGCTGAACCAAGCTCGTAGAGACTCCAGGGGACTGTAGTAGGCCCTATATATGTGGGAGACAGTTGTGAAGCTTGGACTATCTGAGGTGCCCCTGGAAGTAGGAACAGGATCCATCCCTGATACATGAGCTAGCTTGTTGGAGCCCATGATGGAATGCCATGCTCATACTTAATGTGTGGGAGAGAGGTTTGATCCTGCCCCCAACTTAATTTGCCAGGCTATGTTGACTCCTCATGGGAGCCTTTACCTTTTCAGAGGACTGGACAGGGGGGTGGGCTTGAGTGAGAGGTGAGGGAGGGCAGGAGGAGAGGTGGAAGGGAGAACTGGGGTTGGAATGTAATATGAAACTTAAATAATGGCTAAGCCATCTCTCTAGCCCTATAATTAAACTTAAAGAAATAAATTATAAAAATAGAGTGTGAAAAACAAACAAAGACTAGTCAGGACAAAGTTGATATGGCCTCAAATAAGATGATAACAGTGCAAGTGTATAAAAGGGGAGAAGGGTTTATATACCTATTCTGCCACATGGTGTTCTGAATTACTTAAATGAAATCAATTAATCCCTACAACAATCCTATGAAAAAATAATGTTTTAATTTTACATGTGAGGAAAATAAGGCAGAGCGTTAAGTAATTAGTTCATTGTTGTATACTTAGCAATAGATAATTATTAAAAGAAGATATTTAGGGGACAGCAAGAATTCTCAGTGGATAAAGGTCCCTGCCACCAACCCTGGTGACCTGACTGAAACCCACATGGTGGAAGGAAAAAACTGATTTCCACAAGTTGTCCTTTGACCTCCACATAAGCAACATGACATGGACACCCCCCATCTCCCCAGAGTCATACAAATAAATAATGAAAATGTAACAGAAGATTTTAAAATATATTTAAGAAGTAGAGCCAGAAGTATTTATTACCTAAAACCAATTTGCTCTATTTTTTTTTTTTTTTTACTTCATAGATGGAATTGGAACGTAGGTTGTATTTTTGACTTAGAGTCATTCTTAACCCCCCTTCCCATTTCCATCACTCCTGAAGAGTAATACAGTTTGTGGTCTTCCTACAATCAACATCATTTCTTTTTTACATACAGAGCTCACATTCTCCAACATGGTATAAATGTACTTGTTATATATTTGAGTTATTTTAGGAACTTTTATGACTCAATCTCATGTACCTTCATCAAACACAGCAAAAAGTAGTACAAATTGGTGCAACATCTGTGTTCTTTCTTTGGACAGACTTCCTGAAAAAGAAGTGAGAGCATTTAAAATAAAATTGTAGAAAATTGCACAAGGAGGAGCCATGTCTTCACAAACCATTTGAGCATTAAAAAAAAAGCTCAAATTAGAGTAGTTGAGGAAGGGAGGTCAAGATCATGATGGAGAAATCTACAGAGATACAGAGATAGCTGAATCAAGCTTGTGGAAACTCATGAACTCTTGACCTACAACTGTGGAGAATCCATGGGACTGAAGTAGACCCTCCTTATGTGGGAGACAATAGTGAAGCTTGGACTATCAGAGGGCCCCCTGGTAGCAAAACCATGATACAAAACTGGTTTGTTGCAGCCCATTCCTTAGGGTAGATTGTCATGCTTAGTGGCAGTAGGACCACAATATTTTCCTGGTACATGAGCTAGCTTGTTGAAGCCTACTCCCCATGATGAGATACATGCTCAGTCTTAATGTATGGGAGAAGGGCCTGGTCCTGCTCTAACCTATTGTGCCAGACTATGTTTACTCCTCACCGGAGCCCTTACCTGTAAGGAGGAGTGGACTAAAGGTGGGCTAGGATGGAGGTAAGGGTGGTGGGAGGAGGTGAGGGTGGTGGGAGAAAGTGAAGGGGTAGGAGGAGGGGTGGGAAGGAGAACTGTGGTTGGAATGTAAAATGAAATAAAAAATTGGAGTCCTTTGACTAAAGTTTATTTTGCTGTAACGTTCTTTGATCTAAAGTCCTTTAAATTGATGTTTCTAAAATGAAAAATATGGCTATTGAGTGAAAAAAGAAAATAAAAGTTAAAGATATGAACGTTCCTACATATGTTGGACGAGAAACTTTACTATAGATATGTGGGAGAATATAGCCGGAGGCAGGGACACCTGGGATTCCAGAAAAAAAATAAAGGTTTTTAATTGTGCATATGCATTCGTGGTGTGTGTGTGTGTGTGAGTGTGTACATTTTTATGTTGGTAAAGATGTGTTTTGATGCCTGGCTTTCTCCCCCATTATCCTAAAAGTATATTTCACGAAGCAAAAGTTATTTATTTTGACACAGTCCAGTTTATATAATCACATTTTTAATTTGTTGGCAGCTTCATACATGTATATAATGAATATTAGTCATCTTACCTACCACTCCCTCATCTCATCCTCTACTACTGATACCTTTCTTTCCAATAAGTCCCCCTCTCATTTTCATGTTTTCTTTTTGGTGTGACTTTTAATGGCATTTTGAATAAATTTTAGATCCCTCTCTTTTCCCAATAATGAAGACTTTCTGCTAAGTTTCCTAAAAGTTTTAAGTTATTATACTTTATATTTTAAGATATTAATCTATTTTATTTTAATATTTGTACAAATAGTATGATTTAGTGATTCATTTTTACATATGAATATCCTGTTATTCTAATACCATTTAAAAAAGGAATTACCCTTTCTCCATCGACTGTATTTTATACCAAATCAGCTTTTTCTGGATCTACTCTCCTGTCTATCCTGTTTCATTAATTTTTGAGGAATGTGTACTAATAGTTCAGCTGTATGGTAAGTGAAAATTATGGTAGAATAATTAATAAACTTATTATTTTGTAAAAATACGTTTAACTAATTTGACAACTGACATTCTATAGAAATTGTGGGTTAAATTTGTGTAGATCAACAAAAGTTATACTTCAAATCTGACTGGTATTACATTAAATGTGTATATTGCTGAGAACAGGTATCTTTACTATGTTGAATCTTGTAGCCCGGTGTTCAAGTTTGCTTTCTATTGCTGTGATAAATACCATGACCAGAAGTAAGTTAGGGTATTCTGCTTACAGTTGTAGTCCATCAATGAAGAAAAGTCAGGGCAGAAACTGAAGGAGGAAACATGGAAGAACACTGCTTACTGGCTTGCTCCCACTACTTTGTCCAGCCTGCTTTTCCATAACATACAGGACCATCTGCCACATCCCACAAAGGTCTGTGTCATCTCATATCAATCATTAAGAAAATGCCTTACATGCCAAAGTTATGAAGTTATGAATCTCAACCGAGATTCCCTCTCACAACTATAGTGTGATGGGGGATGTCCTTCTGTATATATGTATTTCTCTTATTGACTGATGAATAAAACGCTAGGGACTAGGAGAAAAGGAGAATTCTGGGAAAGGTAAGAAGAGTGAGCCCACCACAGAGTCACCATGCTGCTGAAGAAGTAACAACACCCTGGGGCATTACCAGATAAATCACAGCCTCATGGCAATACATAGATTGATAGAAACTGGTTAATAATTAAGACAGAGCTAGCCAATAAGAAGCCCTAGCCATTGGCTAACAGTTTTTTTAACTAACATAGCATACGTGTGCTTATTTGGGGCTAAAGCGGTAGTGGAACATGGCAGGACAAGAACCTCCACATGTTCATGTCAAGCTGGCAAAAAACTAATCAGCACATCCATGAGCATAGTGTGTTTCTCCACTTAAGTCTTTGATTTCTTTCACTTACATTCTAGTTTTAACTTTGCAGGCAATGGTACATGTTTTTTTCTTTAAGTTTTAAATTTTTGTGTTCAATTGTATTCCATTTAAAAACATTTCCCACACCCAGAAAGACAAACACAGTATGTACCCACTCATTAGATGTAAAGCAAAGGATAACCAGCCTACAAGGAGAACCCTAAGAGGGACACATGGGTCTCCCTGGGAAAAGGAATTAGATGAGATCTCCTGGGTAAATTGGGGGGAAGGGGAAAAGTATAGGCAAGGGTATGGGGAGATGAAAAAAAGAATGATCAGGATGGTTGAGTTGGAGGCAGGAAGGAGTTGAGAGTAATGAAAGAGATATCTTGACAGAGAGGGCCATTATGGGAAAAACCCAGTGCTAGGGAAATTCCCAGGAACCCACAAGGATTCAAGATAAGACTCCTAGCAATAGTGCAGAAGGTGCCCGAACTGGTCTTCCCCTATAATCATATTGGTGAATACCCTAATTGTCATCATAGAGCCTTCATCCAATATCTGATGAAAGCAGATGCAGTGACCCACAGCCAAGCACTGGGATGAGCTCTGGAAGTCTATTTGAAGAGAGGGCGGAGGGATTATATGAGCTGAGCTTGTGGGAGTTCAAAGACTCTTGACAGACAGCTAGAGAGCTGACATGGCACTGACCTAGGCCCTCTGCCTGTGGGTGACAGATGTGTAGCTTCATCTTTTGTGGGGCTCCTAGCAATGGGACAAGAACCTATCCCTGATGCATAAGCTGGCTCTTTGGAACCTATTCCCTATGGTGGGATGCCTAACTTTGATGGAGGGAGAGGATCTTGGTCCTGCTTCAACTTGATATGCCATGCTTTGTTGATTTCCAAGGGAGTCCTTACACCATCTGATGGAGATAGAGGAAGAGTGGATGGGGAGGGGTAAGAAGGGAGGTGGGTATAGAAAATAGGAGGAAAAGAGGGAGGAGAAACTGTAGGTGGCATGTAAAATAAAAAATGATGAACATGAAAAAAATATTTCTAATTTTTCTTTGATAGTATGTTGAATACAACTGATTTTTATATGTTGACTTTGAGTCCTGCAAACCTCATAAACTTAGTTATTTATAGGAGTTTTATTTAAAAGTTCTCTGGGATTTTATAGATAACCAATTATGTTTTATGTAAATAGGGACAATAGTACTGCAATCTATGTTTTTTAATCTTATCATAGGTAAGACCATTAATGCTATATCAAAATATCAAATAAAAGTAGTTAGAGAGTCTTGTTCTAAGTCTTATAAGTGTAAAAGCATTTAGTTTTTCATCACTGAGAGATTAACTGTAGGGTGCTGTTGATCTTTTAGAATTTTATATTTGGAAAAAAAAGAGAATTTTATTTTTTGAGACAAGGCTCATGCATCTCAGGCTGGCCTTGGATTTGCTATGTAACAGGATGCCATCAATTCCTGATGTGTCTGCCTCCAACTCCTGAATACTGGGCTTATAGACATATACCACCACTCCTGGCTTAACCTGGAGGGTTTTGTTTTGTATTGTATTAAGACATCAGATTTAGCAGTATCTTTCTATTGCTACTTGAAGTACTTTCTTTCCTTTCCTCCATTTCTCTCCCTCCCTCCCTCCCTCCCTCCCTTCCTTCCTTCTTTTTATTAAACCATAACTTATTGCCTGTTCTAGTTAACTTTTGTGATTAGTTCTGCCATGACCATTCATATGCATGGTTCTGTTTGAATGTCTGTTTTTCTATTCTTTTGTGCTTATATCTAGAAATCAATAGATTATATGGTAATTATGTTTATAAAAATTTGAGGAACCACTAAACCATCTTCTAAAGCAATATAATGTTGAAAATTTCTCACATCCTCAATATTTACTACTTTTCTTATTTTTTAAAGATTTCACTTTTTATTTATGTGTATTTGTGTGTCTATGTGTAATGCAGGTACTCAGAGTCCAAAAGAGAGCACTGGATCCCTCCAGAGCTGAAGATTGCAGGGTTTTTTGAACTGCTTAACATATGTGCTGGGAACAAAACTCAGGTCCTTTGTAAAAACAGCAAACCCTGAGTCATCACTTTATTTTTCTTATTATAAAAATGATAGGTCCATATTGGTGGATATGAAGTACTATATCATTTTTATTTTGATTTGCTTTTCCTTAGTGGCTAATGGTATTTGTGTCTTTTGTGTGATTGTTGAGTATTTCTGTATTTTTCTGATTTTTAAATTTTTATTGTATAGGGATGGAAACTAGGGTCTTTCACAAGCTAGGTAAGGGTTCTACTAATGAGCGAAATATCCAGGAACTATTTGCACATCTTCTTTGGGTACATATCCTTACATATCTTTAACCCATTTTGAAACTGAGTTGTCTTTTATTGTTGACTTTAAGGTTTAGTTGCATAATCCAGTTATAACTCACTTATCAAATGTAATTTGAAAATATTTTCTGCTATTCTCAACATTATCTTATTAATTTCTTGATATTTTTTTGAGACAGGATTTCTCTGTATTGCTTTGAAGCCTGTCCTGGAACTCACTCTGTAGACCAGGCTGTCCCGGAACTCACAGAGATTCACTTGCTTCTGCTTCCCAAGTGCTGAGATTAAAGGCATGTGCAACCACTGCCTGGCTATTTTCTTGATACATTTTAAAGCTCAAAAGCTTGGTGGATTATCTAAAAAAATCTATTGCTAAACCTATAGTTATGAAATTTTAACTGTTTTCTAATTTTGTGTGTTATATTTATGTCTTTGATTGATTTTGAGTTAAATTTTATATGTCATATGAGGAAAAGCCCAATGTCATTCATTGCTTGTTGTGCCTGGCTACAGCCAGGTCTTCCAAAATTATGAAGAAGAAAGTGTCTACCAAATCAAATGACCATACATTTATGGTTTATTTTTGAACTCTAATTTCTATTGCATAGATCTTTATATCTGTACTTATGTTAGTTCCAATCTTTCCTGATTAGGTGTTCATAATATTCCATTTTTCTTTATATTTGTTTTCTTGTATGGTTTTTTTCCATCTTTATGCTTGTAATCCATGCTATTGTTTTTGAAATGTGAAAGCTATCTATGGGAAGGAAGGGAACTAACAGGAGGACATGGTGAAGGGAGAATATAATGGGGATCTTTTTTTCTTATCTTTTTATTTTCTAGTTTTTTTTTTTTTGAGGTAGAAAGCTCAGAGATATCTCTTTTTGATTCCTTAACCAGAATATGAATGTCAACTATTACATCTTAACCAGATCCTTTTCCTTTGGTTTTGATTTCTGTTGGCTTTTGTTGCTAGCCATTGTCTGTGCCATGGACATAGCTGGAGCTGGGACATGAAAGAACGGGGAAAAGGAGTGAAAAACTGTTGTTTCTCCCTACCCTCTGAGTACAAACAGTTACCTTTCCAGTTCCCAGAGGCACAGCATTCATTTCCAAGTTTCAAGCTATGTTTTTAACACAGGTTAGGGGAAAATTTAGCCTTTCTATCAATTTGCTGGCCCCTTGAAATCTGGTGCTTTCCCTTATCTACAGCCTGTTTCAGTTACTTTTAGAAATTTCAAAGAGCTAGGTTGTAATTTTTGTCAAATCACTGAATTTAGTCAAAGATAAAGAGTAAAATGTGTTTACTCCATCTTATTCAGAACTAGACCTCTAGTGATAAATTAATTATGTCAAAAACTATTTGCAAGCTGGGCAGTTGTGGCATACATCTTTAATCCCCGTGTCTGTACCCATAAAGATGGCTGCACTCCATCTTGGCACAAGGGAAGAGACTTCAAACCTGTCCTTGGCAAGTCATGAGACCTAAAGATCAAAGGTGTGGCTACAGAAGGATGTTTGTCTGTCTTATTCTGTCTCAGGTATGGCTACTCCTGATCCTCGAGGCTAGGGAATGAGAACTTGAATTTGAGGTGTGGTTACTGAACCCTTAGAGAAAGGAGGATGAGAAGTCTGTTTGTTCCATATACATGATACCATGTTCCCCTTTTTGGTTAAGATATGTAAGAGAGGTGAAAAATAAAACTTGTGGCAATTCAGTATGGACTAAACCTGCCCTCCTGATATTTTCTTATGTTTCTGTCTTTCTTTCATCTTCGATAGTTAGCCTTCCCCTCACCCACACACCCTGACTCAGGAACAGACTTGCGGCCCCACAAATCACAGTCTGCACTTGGGAGGTAGAAGTAGGCAGATCTCTGTGAGTTTGAGACCAGCCTGGTCTACAAGAGTGAGTTCCAGAACAGTCTCCAAAGCTATACAGGGAAACCCTGTCTCAAAAAAACAAAACAAAAACAAAAAACCCAAAAATCTATTTACTTATAAACTTACTTGTATGTTATAGGTGTCACCATTCCTTACATCACACAAATAACACATTGTGAGGGTTTGTTTTGTTATTAATTGTGGCTATGAAACTGAACTAAATATAAGAGATACAAAGTTTGTAAATGAAATAATTATAAACTTTAGTCTTCTCCCCCTCTTCTGAATCATATTCATTATTATTGAGAAATGGCATGTTCCTAGATTCTTTGTTTATCCTCCATAAAATATGGAGTCATGGACAAGCTTGGTATGACATAACAGAATGAAACAGAAATGATTAGAAATGTAATGCATCTTCCAATGCGCTCTCTTTTTGAGACCATATAAAACATTTGGTTCCCTTGTATTGCGTATGCTAAAGATATCATGTGGAGATTACCTCAGTCAAGTCTTTCAATCATAGATATAAGACATATGAAATACTTTTGAGGTAATCTCAGCTCTGACCACTTTTTTGACTATAACTTACATATTCATACACAAGACAATTCCAAACTCCATGACACTAAAGAAAATTATTATAAATAACATATTATTGCTCCACCAAATTACTGAGTTATTGAGCATTGGATAACTCGAACAAAAAAAGTTCCAATAAAGCTGATTTTCCACACAAAATAATTAAAATAAAATTATAAATTTACTTTTTGTAAGTTTATGCTATTAAATTATAAATTAAATAACACATGAACAGCATTAAAATAATCTTTAGAATAACAAGTTATAAGAAAATGCATATTTTCTTATATTGTATGTATCTTTGGTTGACAAAATAAGCACCTGAATCAACCAGTATGTCATTGATCACCACAAAAAATGTGTTTGCCACTATGAAACTTTTAAGAAAATTCAGTTTCCAAAAGCAAAGGAGAGAAGAAACACTGCTGAGACATCCCACAGGTTTCAGGTGGAATATAGCAATTATTGGGAAACAGACTTAATTGTAGATCTTAGATGTTCTTGAGCTAGTGTTCACTGAAATACATAGAATAGATATCATTGCTTTAAAAAAACTGGATTCTTTTCCTAAGAATATAAAAGAAGTCCTTCTCAGAGAAAAGAATTCAAAGGCTCACAGTAATCAACAATTCTGTTTGTCCTTCTCTGTTTCATATCCATTCCATTTTTGTATAGTTACCTTCTTTACATACTATCAAAGCTCCAATGAGGCCTGAATTTAAATCTTTCACCAGATCCACATGAGATAGATATGAATAGGTGAGACATGGAGGGTCAGAGGTCATTGGACCATTCTCTTTCAGGACATGCCAAACATAGGTATGACTTTCACCAGGAAAAACTTTATTATCTTCCTTCTCCCTTTGGCTTGTTTGATCTTCATATTCAGCTCCTAAAGGAAGAAGGTACAAAGTTGTCTTTTTTTGTGTGTGTGTTTACCGTCAACTCAGAAACATAATAAAGCTCATAGTTGCTAATGGATTCTACATAATAAATATACTTTCAGGATTTTGAAACCTCTCACCATAAGAAATGGTAAAATCTTTAAGGAGAGAGAAATGTTCAAGTTGTTTTAAATAATGCACAATATGTACCTTTATTAAACATATATATTACCATTATAGCATATGACAAAATATCATTTAACTTTTAAAACATAGTGTATTAAACCATTATACTCCAAAGCATATGCAATTTTGTGGAATATTAGTTTAAGATATGTTGCATTTATTTATGTTGTGAAATATTTGTTTAGTGATGCAAAGATGTGTTGCATTCTTTTATGCTACATTTGCTTAACTCTGTGAAGCAGCTTGCCTAAAACATCTGATTGGTCTAATAAAGAACTGAAATGCCAATAGTTAGGCAGGAGAGAGAAATAAGTGAGGATGCCAGGCAGAGAGAATTAAAAGGATGGGAGATGTCATTCTGTAAATATGTTTCTCATACTGGTTAATGAATAAAGCACTGTTGGCCAATAGGAAAGCCAGATAGGTGGGACTAGGAGATGAGGAGGAAAGAGGAAGTAGTAAGGAGGAGTCAACATGGAGAGACCAGGGAGACCAGACGCCTGCCCCACTCCCCGGTAAGGTGAAACCACGTGGAAATACATAGAAATGGGTTAATACTTAAGACAAAGCAAGCCGATAAGAAACTAGTACCTGGCCAACAGCATTATATCAAATACAGGTCTCGGTGTATTAATTGGGGCTGGCACAGCGGCGGGACAAGACCAACGGAGGACGGAAAAACACTCCTTACATATGGTGCCCACGTGGCTAATAAGAACTTCCACTTAAAATTTAATAAAAGCTTTAAAAAAGGGTTTTAGAAACAAAAGAACAGAGACAAGCAAGGTTTCTTGGTAGCAGCATTTTTGTAGGTTGGACTCTGCTTTGTGAGAGACAAGCAGATAATTGCGAGGCTCCTTTAAGGGAAATTTCCTGACTCAGCATAAGCGGCATGGCTTTTAAGAAGCACTGCTAACAATTTATTGGTCTGTATGAGAGCTGGCAATGGCAGTGACCACATCTCCAAGCTGGCAACATGCTATTGGATGGCAGTGTATACCAAGGCAGTGAGCACAGCTTTCAGTGTTGGTGGTAAAAGTACCCACCACCATCTTTGATAAACCGCAGCAGAAACAACTATGACTTTCATTTTAGCAATGTTGTTGTTCCCAAGATAAAAGACTCATGCAAAAAAAAAAAAAGATAAAGATTTACATACAGTAATGACAGATTCACATTAACATTAAGAAAAAGCACGAACGGTTTACAGTATGTTCTAAAATATATGCAAGCTTGGGAGAGAAAAGAAATAAAATGGTTTTAAAAATACAGCAAGGAGCTGGGTGTGGTGGCATAAGCCTTTAATCCCAGCACTTGGGAGACAGAGGCAGGCGGGATCTGTGTGATTTCAAAGTAAACCTGGTATGCATAGTAAATTCCAGGACAGATAAGAGTTACACAGAGAAACCCTGTCTCAAAAAAATGAAAAAATAGAAGTAAAAGAAACAGAGTAATAAAAAAGCCACGTAAAGATGAAAAGCACAGAAAAATTATGGATGCTATGTGATATTCTGTTGTCTTTAAATTGTTTGACTGCTGAGGAAATAACAACTGATAAAAGAAATGCTGCTGGATTAATTCAATTTATATATTTTAAAAATGCTTTGACTCCAAAATTTAAGTTCAAGGACAGGTTACTGGGGGAATTTCTATTTGTGTTTCCACAGAAAATGAAAAGCTGTGGATTCCTTCCAGACTAATGTGGTTTGATCAAGCCAGACCCCCTGAAACAATGTCCCAGGTGATCCAACATTCAAAACAGCTGGACAAAGCAGCCTTACAGACTACAGCCAGGATTTCTACATCTTCTTAGGATTCACCCATGACAGCGCCCCCTAACAGCAGGAAGTAGTTTGGAATGAACGACGCCCAAATTCCCAAATATTGTTTATAAATGTTTGTTTTCATTTAAATGGGGTTGGTTATAAATGGTTAATGATCACAACCAATATCTTTTTAAAGGTAAAAAGGGGATTATGGTATAGATATGAATACTTTGTTTTGGAATGGATTTTCATTTATTGATACAATTTAAGGACAATTTTGTGATATGTATATTTCTCCTTTTGTTTAGGTATTGTGTTTATATAGCTCATTTAGAAATGTAATGTATAGTGTAGTACAGATTATAGATTATTATCTATGATAATCAAAGCTTATAGTTAAGTTAGTTAGGTTTTCAAGATACACAGAGATGTATTTGAGATAGATAGGCATTCTTCAAACCTTTCAAAAACCTACAGAACATGGGATTTAAAATGGTTTAGGGTTTTTCTTAACAGTGAGGCACAATTGCTCCTGGCAACACCACCTGCATCAAAAAGGAAGATGGACATTAAAGAAACATGGAGTTTGCTTTCAATATGGCAAGACTAGCCATTTGGACAAGATACTGCTCTTGTCAGGACTATTTGACTTTATGAGGTATAAACTAGACATGCAGGACCCACAGAAAAGTGACTGTGGATACAAGAGGGACATTGCTACAGAGTTCATGCTGCATGGAAGAGTCTGCCAGACAGTCTGCAGGACACAGAAAAAAGTGACTGACAAACTGCCAATACAAGAAGACAGTTTAAAGTTTTCTGCTTTACTGAAGAGTCTGCTAGACACACTAGGGCCTATGGGCTGAAGATGGAAGATTACAAAAGAACTTTGGGTGACCAGGCAGCCAGTGTTTCTGTCATTTCTAGAGTTTATATATTATCCTTCTGTGGTCTTCGAAGGAATTGAAGACAGATAGGTATGGTTATAGTTTTCCTTAGTTAGGGTTAAAGATAAGTTACATATAGGACTTTAGACACACAAAGATAGGATAGATGATGTAATATTTTCTTCAAATCTTGCTAAATGTTAATGGAGTAAATATTGTTAACAGTGATTCTTACTTGATAAGTATTGTGTTACATATTTTGCTATGTTAAGGTTAAAACCCTTCTTTTTATTTAGACAGAAAAGAGGAGATGATGGGAGATGTCATTCTGTATATGTTTCTCCTACTGGTTAATAAATAAAGCACTGTTGGACAATAGGAAAGGAAGATAGGAGGGACTAGGAGATGAGGAGGAAAGAGGAAGTAGTAAGGAGGAGCCAAGATGGAGAGTCTGGAGAGAGCAGGACGCCAGAGGGCTCTCTGGTAAGAGCATGTGGAAATATTATATTAACAGAAATAGGTTAATAATTAAGACAGGGCTAGCCAATAAGAAACAAGTAAGTGGCCAACAGCATTATATCAAATACAGAGTCTCAGTGTGATAATTGGGGCTGGCGCGGCGGTGGGACAAGACCAATGGCGGGAGGAAAACCCTACTAGGAAAAACCTACTCCTTACACATAGGGAAGGGAGTATTGTGAAAAGGGGAGAGGACACTAGGGTCCAGCCACACAGCCACACAACCACATAGTCAGCCACTGAGTAAGAAGGAAAACATGAAGAAATAAAGAATAAAGAAAGCTTAAAAGCCCAGAAAATAATTTAAGTTAGAAAAGCTGTCTAGAAACAAGCCAAGCTAAGGCCAGGTATTCATAACTAAAAATAAGTCTCTATGTGTTTTTTGGGAGCTAGGTGACGGGTTCCAAAAGAGTAAAAAAGCCAACTACAGCAACATTAGAGTAATGCTGGATGTTTAGCCCACACCATCTATCCTGGTTAGTTTTATTATCAATTTGACACAACCAGAGTCAACTTTTGTTGTGATAAAATAGTATCAACAAAGGCAATTTTAGGACGAGTTTATTTGGGTTTATGGTTCTAGTGGGCTATAAATCAATAAGGGAAGGGAAAACATTGACACATGCATCTGGAGAATGTAGTTGAGAGATCATATCTCAGTTGCATAAAGGAAGTAGAGAGAGCTAACGAGAGGTAGGGATGTGTGTATAAACTCTCAAAGCGTATTCCCAGTGACATATTTTCTCTAGAAAAGCTCTGTGCCCTAACAGCTCCATCACCTCCCCAAACATCATCACCAAGGGGGATCAAGTGTTCAAATAAGTGAGACTATGGGGGACATTTCTCATTCAAACCATTATGATGGCCATTTTGAGGTCACAAAAAATCCATGAAGAAGTAAGAACTTTGTCCTTAAAAAGTTACAGGATTACCTGGCAATAATATGTCCTTTCTGAAAAAAATTTGAAGTCCCAAAGGAGGGAATTTCTTTCTTTGTCCTAGCTTAGTTAGGTAAGATACCCCTCTTTAAACCAATTAACTGCAGCAAAGAAGATGGGATATATGAATCAACTGCTTATTTCTAGATCAATAACTGTGACCATGGAGATTTGGGCTTTTAAAAAGTGACACATTCTGTTTGAAATATATTTAGAAGGGGCATTTAAAAAATGCACTCTTACTTTATAGCTCAGGTTGACCTTTTTGGTTCAGCCTGAACATGGAGCTGTCACAATAGCTGTTGCTCTTAGAACTCAGAACTATTACTAATATAATACTCTTACTTTGTAAAGTGTACAGGTAAGTGTTTAATTTTATAGTAATCCAAAATGGAGTAACATGACCCTTATTACCAAGAACATGCTTCTCATCTTTCTATAACTAGAATGACAAGGCAATAGGAGAGAATTTGACTTACCCTCAGAAGCTTTCCAGTAGGAAACACCAACAGCATGAAGACTAACAGGATGAGAAGCCATGTTTTTAAGTGTAATGACCACAGTGTCATGAACCTCTGTCCAAATGGTAGGACCCAGCAGACCTGTTAAAATGAGATATCTCTCAAAAGTGAGGGTTAAAGTCACAGTAGAAAAGCATGCCACTTTGAAATTGGTGAATAGCAATTATACTTTCCACTAACCCTAGTTCAGCCTCTGGGTTGTTCTGAGGAAATATTTCTGCTAAGTCATTCAATGTTTCATTAATTCAACTATCTAGGAGAACAACATTAAAAGCAAATAAAACACGTGCCAAAAGTCTTGAGGCATAAATAAGCTTGGTATAGTTGGATAATATGGCGAAATTAATGTGAATTAATGTGAATTATAAAAAATAAGATTATAGATATCTACAGGGAACACAGTATATAGGACCTTATTGGAGGGAAAGAGGGAAGAAAGGAGAAATGGAGGGAGGAGGAAGGAGGGAGGGAGAGAGGGAAGGAGGGAGGGAAAAAACAAAGAGACATCATAGCTGATTCCTATGACTGAGTTTATAACACAGAAATCAAGAGGAAATTAAGGGTTATAGTCTGTGAGTATTTTATAAGATTCCTATAAGTGGTTTATTGAATTAACTGGAGTCAGTGGTGTGAAAATATGAAATAGCTTTGTTTTTCCAAGATGACCACAGGGTTTGTTTGTTTGTATGTTTGCTGCATTCTGTAGAATTTCTCTTTCTTGCACTTTGATCAAGCCTAATTTTTTTCTAGTAATCTTCAAATATTAACAGACACTAGTATTTTTAGGTGTTAACAATTTCAGTCCCTTTTAATGATGTCCTCTGAATCTTATTTATTATTTATTTTATTTTGTGTCTATGAGTGTTTTGCTTGCATGTCTATGTGCACCACATGTGTGTTTGGTGCCCAAGGAATTCAGAAGAGGGTGTTGGATCTAGAAGTGGAGTTCCTGATGGTTGTGAACCACCATGTAAGTACTGGGAATTGAACCCAGGCCCTCAGGTGCTGTTAACCTCTGAGCAATCTCTCCTGCCATCTGAGCTATTTCTCCAGCCTGATGTCCCCTGAATCTTAAAACTCCCTTTATCCTTCTGCTAAGTTTTAAATAGAAAAACAAAACAAAACAAACAAAACAAAAACTTCAGCAAGTAAAATTACTTTTGTTGGCAGCTTCATGTTTCCTGATTTCTTTTCCTAATTCTCCTTCTCAAGTGGCCTTCCTGCCATTTTTTGAGCAAAGAGCAGACCAAGAGTATTTTCTAAAGAAATCCTCAAAATAAAATCTTATATGTTCCTCGCCTTCTTTCATATAGACTGCAGAGGGGTTATGGCCCAGGGTTTGAAGTACTAGTTTATTGCTACTACATGAAAAAAAATCTTAATCAAGGTTCAGGTCTCTCTTTAAACATGAGAGTATTTGTTTCTCACAATTCTCAGCAACATTTCTAAGACAGGTAATAGTGGTATTGTTCAGTAGCAGAGCACTTGCTTAACATGTTCAAGACCCTAGATTGGATGTCTGGCTGTCTGGCATATATATTTAATGCAATAAATATCTTAAGATCTTGTTACATGCTTATTTTACAACTAAGTGGAGATAAAGAGTTGATATTTAGAGATGGGGTCAAAATTAAATACAGAAGTGGAGTTATTAGAATATAGATGAAAATTTAAATCTTTAAAGCTATAGAAGATAAAACTGGACTGAAAAGAGAAAGAAAAGGAAATAATCTAAGACCGAGCTTGTAGAAGCCAAACAGGGAAGATAGAAAATCCAGCCAGTTTATTTTCATTAAAGTAGCAGTTAAGGATACCTGGTTAAAAAAATATAACCTTTGGTAACTACTCTCTGTAAGTACAGTCCCGAGGTTAGGCTTCTTTGCTAAGAAGTTGGGTACCTATTCTCATAATTAACATTCAATATTGTTTTCATTACCCATCCAGGGTGGCCTGGGCTTAGCGATGTTGAAGAGGTGGTCCATGTATTCTACAAACACAGTCTTTTTGTACATGATGGAGGTGTTGAATGGAAAAGATGTTGGGATTCTAGGAAGCAATCTGGATGAAGAATAGAAAAAGTCATTCATTTAAAAGAACTTTATTTGATCCCACTTCTAAAACCAACTGGAAATATTTTCCTTCATCTCATTCTCCTCTGTAAGCAAATTAGAACTTCCACATGCATCCTGAACTTTCTTCTTTCACTTCCCTGTAGTTGTTTATACAGATGCTGCCCTTCCTTTCCTCAATAATTTCCTGCATGTAAAAGAAAGAAAAAATGAGGAAAATGCAGACAGTAATTTTTTTGTTTTCCTTTCAAAAGCTGTAAAATCAAGGTCAGCTTTTGTTCAAGCATTTACTTCATTAAGCAGGACATTTATCCATCCAAAGCTATAAAAAATCATATAAAGATAAACAAAAACTATTAGTATTTTAACCATGACTGGTGGAAGTATTTTTTTCTAATTTGATTTACACAATTGACTACAAGCTATAAATGCATAGAAACACTAATCCCTAAGCTGAAAACTTAAATGCAGCAACCGCATTGCACATAAAGCTTGGGAGAAAGGTCATAAGATCTTCATAAAACAACAGGAGAGATGGTTTAGCAGTTAAGAGCACTTGTTCCTTTGGCAGACAACCCAGGTTCTGTTTCCAGCATCCACATGGCCACTCTCAACTGTCTATAACTCAGGTTGCAGGAGATCCAATACCCTCTTCTAGCTTCTGCACATATATGGTACATATACACACATTCAGGCAAAACACTCATACAGAAAATACAAATAAAACATTTTTTAAAAGTCCTCCTTCATGAGACATACAGACACCTAAACGATGGAGACCATGGGAAAATTCATCTGGGCACATACCATGGCAGAACTACCCAGAAGGTCCCTATTTTTGTACCTCAAAGTTGTAACAAGCAGTGTGGATGAAAGATGTGATGTCTGAACTCTTTTAGCAAACCATAAAACTGTGTCCATCTGCCTATTTAAAAAAAAAAACAAAACACTGCTCTGCCCTGCCACTAGAGGAACCACAGGGATGAACAGTAGAAAGGAGAGAGCCTAATACAGAGGCACATCAGAAAGAAAGCTGTACCCTCTCAGAGGCAAACTCTGGCTCCTAGAGTGTGTGTAAATGCAAAAGTAAAGGTGGGAAGTAGAAGCTGAAAGAATGAAACAGATTACTTCCTAAGAAAGGTAACATCTTGAGGGAATCTCTCAAGTGGTGACCAGCTTTGGTTCCATTCACACAAAGAAAAACATAATAGAAGAACAATCCAGTCCTCTATATGATCTAGCAGTCAAATGTCTGAACTGATACTTTATATTTCAGACACCTCGGTCAAGGACGCTGGCAAAGCAGGACAAGGTGGGGCTAACCTAAACCCTACCATATTCGCGGGCCCACTCTTCCACTTAGCCCTGAATTTCACTCCATTCCAGGGTTTCCAAGATCCTTGAGAGCCAGTTGACTAGCTCTGTCAAAGGAAGGCCTTGACAAAGGACATTCCATACTGGCTGTGGGCCAAGGGCCAGGGATTGATAAGGAAACTCTTCCAGTAAATAAAATTTCTTTGCGGAGAAATGCATGGGGGAACTGCATGAGTCAGAGGGCTAAGACAACTGTATAAACAGGGGGCCAACGGATCCTCTAATCTTTTGCCCTATTACACTTATGGTCTTGCAGGAGATAGCTGATGATGACCAGTTTTTGGGGATACCCACTCCCTTGGGCTTACAGATGGGTCAACATTATACACTAGTACTACTATAAGATAAAAACTGACTATTGGCATACCACAACCCATTTGTTGGTGGCACTGATATATAATGGTAAAGGAAAACTGCCTCCAATGGGCCAACATTTAATCAGTGCTACTAATTGCTCAATATATTAAAAAAGAAATTGCACAAGGTTCAGTTATATACTGACTGCCTCTTATATAAGATTGTGTTTGGCAAAAATGTCTTTGTTTTCTTGTCAGAGCATAGTAAAAAGCTAGAAGTACAGTGACAAAGATTTCTGGGATAAGAATATGCTAATGAGTGTAAAGAAAGTTCTTGATACCACATGTTAATTTTATGAGAAAATTTCCACTGTTGAAGAAGCACAAAACAGTATAAATAAAATATCTTACAATCCATGCTAATTTTGTTTCCTCTTAATGTTTGAAGGCATTGTTTTTGTTTCCCTTGGAATTTGATATATAAATTCTGCCAAATGTTCTTGGCAATAATTATCCCTGACATGAATTGTTCTTTCAAATTTTATCTAAAACCCATTGGAAAAACCATTATATTTTCTGACCCTTGCTTAGAAGAAGCCAAGCATCTGCAGGAACAGATAATGTAAATTTGAATTTCCTTAGCTATTTATTTTTAACCTTGGTAGAGTCTGTCAGGATGTGTTTAGAGTCTTCTTATCCTGGTGTCAAAATTATCTAGATTATAAAATATTAACATAAAGAACATAAAGACAAAAATTCAATTGTTTTTTTTTCTGGTAAATACATGTGACTTCCTGCTAATGAATTATTTACTTCATTAAATAAATTATTCATGTATGTGGTATAGTTTGTGTGTGTGAATATAGAGGACAGATGTTGATGTTGGATGTCTTCTATCTCTGTCCACCTTATTTTTATCTTTATGTATCTGTGTGAGTGTACGATACATGAGTGCAGGTGCCTGAAGTAGCCACAAGATTGTTTTGGATCCTGTAGGCCTGGAGCCACAGGTGGTTATGAGCCATCATGTGAGTGCTGGGAACTGAATTTGGGTCCTGAGCAAGAGCAGAAAAAAACACAGCCACTAGGCCATCTCTCAGGATTCCATTTTAAGGGTTTTTATTTGTTTGCTTGTTTTTATTTTATTTTTTTTTTTTGAAACTTAACCCAGAGGTCACTGATTCACTGATTCAGATAAGCTGATTATATAGTAAAGTCCAGAGATCTGTCTATCTCTGCTTCCCCATTGTTAGAATCTTTATGTGGAGCCAGAAGGTGGTGCCACACACCTTTAGTCCCAGGCAGAGGCAGGTGGATCTCTGTGAATTCAAGACCAGCCTGGTCTATAAGAGCTAGTTCCAGGACAGGCTCCAAAACAATACAGAGAAACCCTGTCTCAAAACAGAAGAAAGAAGAAAGAAGAAAGGAAGAAGGAGGAGAAGGAGGAGAAGGAGGAGGAGAAGGAGGAGGAGAAGGAGGAGGAGAAGAAGGAGAAGAAAAAGAAGAAGCAGAAGAAGCAGAAGCAGAAGCAGAAGCAGAAGCAGAAGCAGAAGCAGAAGAAGAAGAAGAAGAAGAAGAAGAAGAAGAAGAAGAAGAAGAAGAATAATCTTTATGTGGGTACTGGTAATCTTGCCTCAGTTCTTCATGCTTGTAAAGCACTTTACTGCTTGAGTCATTTTCCAACCTTTCCAAATAAAATTTCATACCAAAAGTATTATTCATTGTGCCAGGCCACAAGGTTGACACTATAATGCAAAGCACTTTATGATGTATAATCATCTCAATATTAATTGTTAACAAAAGCAAACAGATAAGTGGCCAAGTTTTCAATAACAGAACCTGATTTTCTAGGATGCTACTCAGGGTACTCAATTGTAGGCTATACAAACTATAGAATGAACCTGTATCCTTCTCTCACACCATACACAAAAACAAACCTCAAGTCAATCAAAGACCTTAATGTAGGAATTAAAAATATAAACTGCTTAGAATAAAATGAAGCTTAAGATCTGACAACTACTTCTTACATATGATGTCAAAAGTATATGTTAACTATGGCACAAAAAAATTACAGATAATTTGGACATCATCCAAATGAAAGACTTTGAGCTTGAAAGAATACTATTAGTAGTATAAAAAGATTACTCACTGCATGGATAATATAAATCTTATAAAGTTGTAATATCAACACTATATAAAGAATTTTAAATCTCAGTATTAAAAAGACAATATGAGGGCTAAGAAGATGACTCAGCTGTTAGGAGTACTAGTTATTCATCCAGAAGTCCCAGGTTTGATTCCCAGCACCACATGGCGGCTTACGATCATCTGTAAGTACAGCTGTAGGGGATCTGATGTCCTTTCTGCCTTCTTCAGGCACCAGCAACACACATAGTGCACAGATATACATATGCTTTTACCAATAGCCTCTGTCAGTCTCTCTTCATGGTATCAAGCATTAATTTCTCTGCATGACCCCTTTAATCCTAGAACACCAACTAGGCTACATCTTCACTAATGGTCTCTTCTGGAACTCATAACACCAAGCCTCAGCGTCTCTCCATGGCTCCTTTATCCCTTCAAGACCGGTACCACCTGTATGACTTTTACTCTACCAAGTTCAGCTGTCAGCATGAGGCATAGCTTGGTTCCTTGAAGAGCATAGATTCTGTGTGTTGACTCTGAGGAAACACTTCCCAGAAGATTGTATCTCAATGATGTTGGTCTTTTCCTAACCCCTACTAATTTCTTAGATCCACATAACTAACATCAATTCCTCAGTAACACAAAGGTTTCACTTTAATGGTGCTGGTCTCTTGTTATTCATGACTGATGATTCAGTCCTAGCTGACCAGAACCACAGAGTCTTAATTCAAGATATGCAATGGCCCTGACAGAGTCTTTATGTAACTCTTGAACTTCCCTCTTGAACTTCAAAAGCCAAGACTCCATCCTCTGCATTTCTCTTAACATTCTTATCTTCCATATTCCCACAGAATAGCTCACCAAGGTCTGAAAACTCAGCAGATTTTCCAGGCCAAATTTTCAAAGTCCTTCCACAATACTCACCAAAATAACATGGTCAAGTTTGTCACAGCCATACCCCACAATCCTGATATCATATTGTCTTAAGGTTACTATTGCTATGATGAAACACCATGACCAAAATCAACTTGGGGGGGAAATAATTTATTTGGCGTACACTTCCGCATCATTGTTCTGCATTGAAGGAAGTCAGTGCAGGAACTTAAGGGAGGAACCTGGAGAAGCCATGGAGGACTTATGCTTACTGGCTTGCCCTTTATGGCTTGCTCAGCAGTCTTATTTTTTATAGAACCAGGGGACATCAGACAGCACTACCCACAATGGTTTAGACACTCCCCCATCAATAACTAATTAAGAAAATGCTTCACATGCTTGCCCACAGCCAAATCTTATGGAGACATTTTCTCAGTTGAGGTTTCCTCCTGTCAGGTGACTATAGCTTGTGTCAAGTTGATTATAATACTAGCCAGCACAAGGTCAGAAATTAATGTAACAGAAAATAATCAGGGGAGCAATCCAATTAACAATATTCTCAAAAATTACCTTGGATAGGCACTGAAGAGATGTCTCAGAAGTTAAAAGAATTGGCACCTCTTAAAGAGGACCCAGGTTTGGTTCCCAAAACCCATGTGGTAGTTCAAAACTGACTGGGAATTCCAGTCCTAGGAGATCCCTCTTCTGACCTCTGTGGTGGGTAGTAGGCACTCAAGTGGTGAACTGACATGCACACAAGCAAAATACTCATATACATAAAATAAATAAAGCCATAAATTTGTTTTAAAAATTACCTCGGTATTAATCTAACAAAGGAAGTGAAAGACCTTTATAGCAAAAATTTAAAACACTGAAAAAGAAATTGAAGAAGACATTGAAAGATAGAAAGACCTTCCATGCTCAAGGATTGGAAGAATTTGTATTATGAAAATGACCATCCTATCAAAAACAATCCACAGATTCAATGCAATTCCCCATCAGCATTGTAGCTTTATTCTTCATATAAATATAAAAATAATTATATTAAAATTCATATGGAAACAAAAGTATCCCCATAACCAGAGAAATATTGAGCAAAAAGAATACTTACTGCAAGAGGTACTACCATAGCTGATTACAAGTTATACTACAAAGACATGGTAAGAAAAAAGCATAGTACTGGCACAAAAGAGACAAAGAAAGACAGATAAATGGAATTGAAGACCATGATATAAGTCCATGATCCTATAGCCACCTGATTTTTGACAAATAGGTCAAAAGACATGCACAGGAGCAAAGATAACATCTTTAACAAATGGTGCTGGACAAGCTGGATATCTACAAGTAGAAGAAACAAAATCCTATATCTCACTGTATACAAAATAAACTCTAAGTAGCTCAAAGACCTCAATATTAGATACAAAACTGAAATTGCTAGAGGGAAAAGTAGGGAGCACACTTCAAGATATAACAATAGATAAGGGTTTTCTGTATAAACATTTCTGATTGCTTAGAAAATAATAAGGCCAATAGTCAACAAATGGGACCTGTACATCAAAGAAAACCATCTATCCAGTGAAGAGACAGGCTAGCCAACAGAAGAAAATATTTGCCAGCTATACACTGGACAGATCATTTTAGAATATACA